AATGCCCTCTGTCTTCCTTGGCGCTGAGCGCTGAGCGGTCAAATGTCGGAGAGTTGAACGCCCGATGTTCAAACTTTGTTAGACAAGGTGCATTGTGCCTGCGTCCGCGACAGGGAGAATCGGCTTTGATCAGCTGTTGATGGTTCGGCACCGCTCGGCAACGCCTGTGGTCGGGCATCTTCCACATCCACCGTCAAGCCTCTGGTTCACGGCGTACATCTACGCGGTCCAGGGGCTGACTTACGCCATCCCGGAAGATGGTGCTCTTGCTTCATCGCTGCCGTAGTAGCACTGGACTGAATGCAAAGGCCACTGCACTGGGAGACTCTTGGTCCTTCACTTGCCTCGGCCCTCTTGAGCACAGACTGGATACCTTTTCTAGGTTGTCTACCGAACACTCGGCCTCGAACTCTCTTTTATTTCTCCGCAGCGCTAGGCGTGTTTTCTGTTTGATCTTTCCTCCGTATGTCAGGCGTGCGCAGGAGGCACGGTTCCTAGCATTCGCGTCCCCGCGGAAGGGGAGAGTGCTGCCGCTCTTTCGCAGTCTCCTTCTCGCCATTCGTCTCGGGTACTCTCTCTTCATCCTGATGTTCTCTTCGTTCCAATCGCCCTCCGCAGAGTCCACAATCGCTGAAGGTGCGGTCATCGCATACCGTTAGTCTTCTCTCGCCAGGCGCTCCGACAATTGCTCGAGCACGGGAAACGCCAGCGGTCGCTATCATGACGAATGGAGGCTGGGAAGACTTCTCTGACACATCCCTTCTGGTCCGCCCTTCACCTCCGCGGTCTCCCCGTCAGTCAACTGCATGCTACAAAATCCCGAAATGGAAGTCTGCCACTCAGTATTGATATTCGCTCGCAGCTTGGAGTGTGGATAGTTCCGCTGTTCCCGCAGCGTCTGTCTGCCCTTCATCTCGCCATCTGAGTGTGAAGCAGAGATCGAGCTCCGCGCGGCGACTTGCAGCTTTTGCGGACAAGATTGGCTGTGGCCAATTTCTTTCGGCAAGGACTCGACATACGCCGTGTCGCTTCCAGTGTCGACCGTTCACTGAATTGAATTCTCAGTTAGAAGGCTAATAGTAAGACGCCAACGAGACAGATGACATGGGCAGCGCGTGATAAGTGAGTCATACTTGGAGGTGAGAGATTTGTGTTCAGGAATATATTCTCATCCATGTATAGTTGCACTTTGTGGGATGTGTCACTGGTTCAACTTCCTGCAGAGGCCACGCAAACTAGTAGCCATCTCGACATAATCGAGCCTATAAGCCTCCACCATTTATCCCCAAGTCCGCGCAGATCGTTGGCGCTCAGCCGGCAGATCTTACGTACACCACAGCCAACGTAACAAGCGCAGGTAGCCCGTGGATGGATTCCGGCTAGGATTGTGTTGCAAATATCCTTTGGAGCGAAGAGCCAAACGGGTGTTCAAGACCTGGACGAAGCGGCATGGTCTTCACCTGCAGAAAATCAACACATACTACATAGGTAACTTGACGAGTGGCCGCGGCGCCCGCCAATCAATGGTCATGGGCATTAGCTCATTCGACGAAATCCAATATTTCTTATTTTGTAAGACAATTATTTTAGCTAAGCGTCAATTCTACGACCGTCATTCGGATGACCATCACACGCACGGAGCGTTCGTATTAAAAGGCGCCGCAATTTGGTGCTCTCATCCTCACTCTTCCCGATAGGATGACCTCCCTTCCCATGAAAGCACTCAAGCCCGGTCTCGTATCTCTCCCCGGCGGAACCCCCGCGTCGGAAGCCCTCGTAACCCAACTTCTCCACGGTGAAGGAATGTGGGATAACAAGTGGTCTGAATTTCTACGTACTACATACCACCGAGCAAATACTCAGTATGTTTGCGATCCGTTTACATTTCGGGTCTCTTGACATTGTGGGGGACCAGATATCTGGTTGCCTGGGTGTGCTTCCGTGGTAAGCTGAACGAAGAAATCCAACCGAACAAAAGAAGAGACCTTCTGAACAAATTCGAGTTCCCCTTCTGATTTTCAGGCGAGCCAGCGGGGATCTGGAAACATTCAGCTTCAGGGAGACTGTGAGGTATCCAAACTACGCACACGTATCGTCGATCACCGTGAGCAGCCCCTTGGCTGCCAGTTTGGGGAAATGAGGTTGGACTGAGTCTATGTCGTACCGGAGAGTCGATCGACCAGAAATGCGGACCCCGACTTGTCGGAGGGCAGGCAGTCGGGAATTGGCGACGAGGGTGTCGGTTTCGGAGAACGTGAACGATTCGTGCTGGGGTCCAAATGCAAACACGTCGAGATGGAGAATGAGTGTCTCGAGGTAATTGTCGGGGTTTAGACCGGAAATTGCCTCACTGGTGAAACACGGGAGTTCAAGGAGCGTCAGGGCGGGGAATTTTGACAGATCGATCTCCTGGGCGATATCTAAGATGCTGAATGAGAGGGAACTATGAGGAAGTCACACACGATTTACCGCCGAAAATCCGCAGCCGTGTGATGCTCAGGCGCGCGGAGGTCAAGACCTGCCACAGGGCGGGGTTCCCTGAATCCTGCTGAACCGTGACTTCCACGAGTTCGGTGAGATTGAATGGGCACGAAGGGGAGATTAACCAATCCTCGACTTCGTCTGATCCATCCACCTGCAGCCGTTTGATTTTGGCACGCTGTTCTCTGGAGCGCGGAGCGCAGGTGTTATCGGAGCTAGAGGGAGCGGAGACATTGCTAAAGGTGATTGCCTCTAGCTCCCTAGTGCATCTTTCGAAGAGAGTTGCAAGGACGTTCGAACCTTGGTTCTGGTCCATGGTGAGGTTGATGATTTCCACCTCGCATATCGAAGGCAATGCAATGAAATCTCTGGCGAAATGGAGTATACCGGCCGATGGGAACTGTCCATTGAAGAAATTAAGAGCAATTTTTTGGAGGACTGGGAAATCTATTCCGGATAGCGGTCTAAGAACCGCTGCATCTGCGAGGACATTGAGGGAATGGATCAACCGGAGGAGGTGAGGCGATGTCGTAACGATTCCGGCGAGCCGACGAACAGCATAGACAGTTGCCTCGAAGTCCCTATTCCTCGAATCTGCACCGGCGTGGAATGGATTGAGGATGACGTGGCGGAATATCTGGGATTGGGTGGAGATGCACAGCGCCTGGCAGACGAGAGCGGTGGATTTCAGAGTATCATGGGGAGAGTCGTCTACTGCGATATGGTGCGCAATATGGTCGCAAAGCTCTTGTGTGCTGAAGACCGATTCAGCCATGTCGTGGTGGGAGGCAAGGGCGGGATCAGAAATGATGGGAGATAAGATCTTGATAAGATCGATAAGATAAGATCCAACACACCAAAGTTCAGCCTTGCGACGAGAGCTGCTACTTACTATGGTGAGTCCCTTGATGTAGTCTCAGTCTGATAATAAAACAAAATCGGACAATGTCGGGCAATCTCAAGGCTTACCTCCCGTATCGTCAATTTACTTGGGCCGGGTCGATTGACATTTCCTATTTTGTGTAGTGTTGGGAAAGTTCGGTTCGATCTTTCGGTTCGAACTCGAACTGAACCGAACTGAACGCGAAGTTCAGGTTCGGGGTTCGGAAAATTGCTGAACCTGAACCGAAGTTCAAGTTCGGGGTTCAGGCAACTCCAGCGAGGTTCGAACCGGACCGAACCTTCGACCGATATTATGCACCTGGAACCACATTTCGGTCGAAATTTTGATGGTTTCACATGGGGAAAGTCACCTATATCTACCTTAGTAATATCCCAATTTTCTAGGTGGGGTAGCGGCAGTGTGAATATTGTCCTGTTGGTTGATGTCAACCCGATGACTTTTTGGGTGGACTAGGTTCGGAAGGAAATGTGTACAAACGTCACCTGTGTCCCTCCAAATGGTCAGAACCATCATTTTCAATAGAGGGAAGGAAGCCCCAGTCATATGTACTCAATATCGTCCACGGATTCTGGTCATTCAACGGCTTTAAACGGTGGGGAAAAAAATCGAGTTCGAACGCGTTCGAACCTGAACCGAACCTGAACTTGAGGTTCAAGTTCGAGGTTCAGCAAATCTCCGAACCTGAACGGAAGTTCGAGTTCGGGGTTCAAGGAAAAGAGGCCCTGAACCGAACTGAACCGAACTTTCCCATCACTAATTTTGTGCACAATCGCACTCGGTTTTCTGGAACCAGGGTTCTCAGATGATCCTCAGCCGCTGGCACATAAGACGGAAGACCTCCGACTGTCTGCCCCTACTATCAACAGATTGCAATCCATCGTGGCGCAGAATCCAAACGGTGTAAAATGTGGACCCCAAATATGTATATTAGTCTACGTCGTATAATAGAGTTCGTACAAGACTCGGAACAGGGTTTGTCTCTGGAACAAGTGAGAGAGCCAGACACCGATGAATATAGTACTCTACCCCCGCTCAGACGAGGCAGCGTTCTACATTGGTGGACTTCCATCGTCTGTCCAGCCAGCATCCACACCACACGTAGGGGTGCACCCCTGATGCAATTAAAATTACTGCGGAAAGCTCGTAGAATTAAGCAAGCAAGCCTGGCTATCTTGTTATTGAAAACTCAAGCAGCCGATGAAATGGCTCTCTTAACGAGGGACAAAAGGTACTCGGGTGTATTGTACGGCGCACCGCTGCTGATTCCGGCTCAAACTTCCGGAATTAAGCAAGCAAGTCAGGTTTCAATTCCCCGAGCCTGAATGATATTCTTGATGCCTTTCTTCCATTTGCCAAACGATATTATTGCCGCCGGTTCAGCCCGGCGCAGGCTCGGCTTCCTGAGCTTCAATTACGGAGAAAGGAATTGGGTGTGGTGTACGGCGCACCGCTGCACTTCCTAACAATTCAGGTAGAGCATATTTCCGCGGCAGGACGGGGCTCGACTCCTCGCACCCGAATAGGAAGGCTGTCTCCATTTTTTCTCTTTATTGTGGGACAGGTGCTGTGCAGAGGATGGAGTTCAAGGGACCTCGCCTAATACACAGGCAGTCACTCGGGTGTAGTGCACGGCGCACTGCTGCTGGAAATTATTGCTTCATTTGAGTGGAGCAGCGAGACGGGGTTCGACTCCCCGCACCCGAATCCCGCTCAACTCGTTCATTTTACTCTTTGCCAGCCGCTCGAATGAGTCTCGGTTGACGACGTTCAAATACAACCACGTACTCGGGTGTGGTGCACGGCGCACCGCTGCAATCCTTCCCATGCTTTCATCCAATCGGTGAGCAGCAGAACGGGGTTCGACTCCCCGCACCCGAATGCGCCAGAGTGCAGTTTCTTTTGTTTTATGAAGCTCAGCTCGCCGAACCAACAAAGCTCACTTCACAAGTCGCCGACACAAGCATCAAGCGTCGACTCCCGCACCCGAATTACGTCTTTAAATTCGGGGGCTTTTTTTCTTGCCTCGTCCTGCATGCTCTGACATAACTAATCCGTCTTGAATCCGTCTATGTACTCGTAGAATCGTCCTCATCGATTAATCGCTCTATCGTATTATCGTGTAATGAGAGCGCATGGGCATGTGCATGTTTTCCGCGTCTGCGTCCGCGTCCGGGGTATCATCCTCGTACTCCTCCTCCACATCCTCCTCCGTGTCTCAACGTGGGTAACATAAGGCTCAGAACGCGCGCTTGACAACACCCCAGGGGCCTTGCCCTGGATGGTGACGACCTCGAGCTCGAGCGGCGTCGGCTGGCGCGAGCCGTCGGAGGCGGCGTACGTGCCGGCGCCCCACGGCGAACCGCCGTGCACCTCGTCGAGGCCGGTGAGCTGCTTGAATCCGTGCGCGTGGCCAAGGGGGACGAAGAGGACGCCGTGGTGCGCGAGCGTGCTGTGCGTGCGTTAGCGTCGTCATACAAAAAAAAAAAAAAAAGAAGGGGAGGGGAGAACGCACCTAATCGTGTTGAGTATGGTGACCTCCTGTCCTCCACCGGGGCCGGCGGTCGAGGTGAACGCGCCGGCGTACTTGCCCGCGAGCGCGCCCGAGGACCAGAGGCCGGACGTCGAGTCCCAGAACGCCTTGCAACAAAATCGATATCAATATCTGACCGCACACATACACAAGGTAAAGGAACGCAACTTCCACTGCGCGGGGAAGTTCCCGAACCGCGTGGGCACGCCCATGAGGAATGCATCGTACTTGGCGAGCTCCTCCGGCGTGATGATGGGCAGCGCGGGCTTCGCGGGCGCGTACATCTTCGTGAGCACCTCCTGCGGCAGCGTCTCCGCGACCTGGTACATCGTCGCCGAGCCGCCCGCCTCCTCGATGCCCTTCTTCACTGCGTCCGCCACTGCTCTGTGTCAGCGCTGCACTAGAGAGGGAGGAAGTGAAGAGGCGACGCACTCTTGTGGATGTGGCCGTACATGTATAGTACCTCGTCACTACGTAGGATGTGCAAGTTCGTCTCTTGATGGATGATCTTCGTCCTTTGATGGGGCAAGTTCGTGGATGTCTATGCAAGCACGTCAGATCAAAACTAAGCGAAAGAAGCCTCGTCGGAAGCGGACGCGGGTTCCAAAAACCGTGCAACTGCAAGTTCGTCGCAAGCCCAGATTCGGCCAGCCATCTGATCCATCCCGTGATCGATCCGCGCTCGGGTGATGCGCCCGACGATTCTTATCCTCTCCCCACCATCATCTCGTCCGGCCCCCCGCGTTCTGACCGGCTTCGCAGTGCGTACCCAGCCAATATCAGTGCTTGACACCCCACTAATGTGTCTCTTATTCTCACAGGTGGCGATGGAGTCGCAGTTTTACTTTTCACCGCACTTTTGGGACGGCAGCACCGAGGCACAGCAGTGGGATGCTCACCTATTTTCATCGGTTCAACGATTTCGCCCCCTGCTCAGACAACCACCGCACGTCAGTAGGGCTCCAGCTGCCGGCGTATTGCCATCGTTCGCATTCCCCGGTACGTAACGCTGCCCATATCCACGCTGTCCATACCCACGATGGCCCACTGTGTGCTCACGTTGTTTCATTCCTAGCCGATTCCAGTTTTTCGTCAGTCGTGGCAACACCGTCCATCAATCTCGATAGTTTTAGCCACCCGACGCCGCTTCTACCTCCCGGTGCGTACGCCGTTCTTCAAGGTTACCGGTAACTCTTTTTAGATGTGGTTCCTGGCGCGTCACAGCCCTCCTTTCATTCCGATTTCTCGGCACCCGCCTCGGGGGATGCCGCGCCGTTCTCTTGGCTGCCGAAGTCAGCGCAGCAACCGAGCGGTAGGTAGGTATGATTACACGGCACGGTCCGGATAACGAACGCCGGTTTCCAGGAGTTGTCCCGGTGTACAAAGCAAGTCGAACATACACCATCGCCCCTGGACCCCTCACAGTCATCCAAGCCCCAGTCGCAGACCCCATGAGTTTCCCCATGCCCCACGGTAGACCCCAGACAACGGAGAGAGGCGAGAAATTTGACCTAGAACATTCAGCTTCGAAAAAACTCCAGACATTGTTGATTCTACCATGGGTGATACAGCGGGACGGCGCAGAATTCCTCAAGAACCTCATACACAAATTTAGCAACCAGGACAATCGTAGCGCGCTCGTAAATCATGGCCTTCAGGAATTCAACACTGGTAAGTTCGGCCATTTCATTCTGCAGTTTGGGTACAGTGCGGAATAGTTTGTCCAAGAATGTTGCGCGCAATGTTAGAACTGCCGGCCATGCCTGGCATTCAAACAGCGCATGTTCTGGACTTTCGACCTGAGTTTTACAAAATCTGCAGAGGTGCTCGTTGCGAGGAAGTGGCTGGTGTGCATGATCAACGTGCCGCAGTTTTTCCAAGGCAAGAGAATGGGTGGACAGCATCATAGAGGTCAGGGCCTCCTTATGAGTTTGTGTCTTCACCATAAACAGATAGTGCCTCATAAATAACATTTTTTGAGCGGCAGGTTTGTCCTTTTGTGGTTCACGACGCCCGTGAAGGAGGTAGAGTTTGTCTGAAATGTCGATTTGCAGCTGCAGCCATTCAAGTGCGCATTTCTCCACCGACTTTCGGTAGGCTTCAATAGACTTCTCCGTCGCACTATTGAAATCCAAAGGAGGGCATTCAAAAGGCAATTTCCTTGCCGCTATCAGCACGTCTCCGGCCCAGGACTTTTTCCCTGCTGCGGCGAGTTCAATGGAGTTATTGAGACATGCACGAGCAAAGTGGGACAGCTTGAGGAACTGGATGTACTGCAGATAGCCAAGGAGTAGCAAAAATCGACGAATTCGAAGGGGCATAATTCCAGTCTCCGTGAAGAGTAGTACGAGCATGGAGTGGGAATGAACATTCAGAACTTGCCGCAGAAAGTCAATTTGAACCGCGCAGAGTTGTTTCACGTGGACATCTTCAGAGTCAAGCGAAACCTCACACCCATGAATAAGGTGACAGTCGACGCGTGCCATATACATGTCCTTGTACTGCTTCGGTGTTAGCCGGCCCGTTGAATCTTCAGTGCCCAATATCCTGTGCGCGCAGTACCTCGCTGTACTTGCTTTCGCGTTGTAATGATCTGCGAACATGTTTCGAGTGCCTGTGTTGAAGTTCATTCCAACATACTTCTCCTGGACCTCAATATTCAGGATATTTGCTCTGAGTCGGAACTGGAGGCCTGCGGGTGACTTTCTCAAAGATCATTATGATAGTTTTAATCATATTTACCACAATGAAATTCTTCGAACACCAGGCAGCAAGTGCGTTGAGTCTGCGCTGAAGTCCTGCAGCCGATAATGTCATTAAAAGAATATCATCAGCTTGAGCCAGGATAGCAATTCGAACGTTGGAGAGGATCGGGTCGTCGGGGTCATCTGGCATGACTAGGTCGGCCATGAGCAGATTCCACAACACTGGAGATGCAGGGTCGCCGGTGAGCAAGCCTATCACAGCCTTAAACTCCGCCGCGGTTTTATCTCCATGCCGAACGTAGTATTCCATCCGATCGTACAGCATGCGCAGCCAGTCGATTATCGCACCTCCCATTCCCATCCGTATGAGCGTCAGCCATAATGTGGGGTGGTCTGTCGAGGGGAAGGCATTCGTTGCATCCACAGCAGCAACATGGAGAGTGAGTCCTTTTGAGTGTGCCCATTCCTTAACGCAGCGTAGGATGAAGGGGTTGTTGTTTGTTCGATATTCCTCCCTAGCCGTTCTGATAGTCAGGAATGAGTCCACGCGCAGCCGCCCAATTCGTAATTCGCTTGTGGATCAGCATGGTTAGAACTTTCAACACGCAGCTTTCGAGGGCAATTATCCTGTAGCTGTCCGGGTCTGTGTTCAACTTCCCCTTCTTTAGAAGCCCAATTACGACCGTTCTGAACCAAGTTATAGGTCCGTCCTGGCGACGTATGCATTCGTTGCACAGAATCACCAGCGCGTCGTTAGGAATCTCGAGGATTTCCACATAGAGAGTTGCATCCTCGCCCGACGCGCTATCCATGCCGTGTTTGCGGATTTGGGAGGATTGAGCCGTTTCTCAAACACGTTGCGAAGACTGTCCGCTGTCACAGAGATGGGGATCGGGGCAGGATCTCAGAGGCGCTTGATTTCTTTCCAAAACATAGCAGTGGACGGTGCATCAAGGAGTTTATTTCGATTTCGTTCCCTCAGCTCATGCAGCTGTGCTCGACCTCTATGTGGCGAGGGGTATGATGGCCGCGCCTGTAGCGGCACAGATTCGGCGCTGCTATTGTGGTGAGGGATGTGCAATGCGCAGGTCTATCTATAGGCGAGCGGGATATTCCCGAGGTTTCGATTAGCCGACCAAGATATTCAGGAGAGTTCTAATAACCGACGCTTAGCTCAGGTCGAGACCGCACCTGACCGCGTCTAGCTGACAAACGTCAGCGCCAAGCAGCTGCGGCGCTTTCTCCGGCTCCGAAATCCCGAAAGCCAAGCCAATACTGACGTGGCAAGACGTGGCAATTTTTTGAGGGATGCGATGGAATTCTCTGGCCCCTCAACGTCGACACCCTCCTGTAATCCCAGGGATAAGACAGGGCCCGAGCAGGACAAGTGGACAGTGGGTGCAGCTTCGGTTGTCTACTGACAGGAGTATATTAAGGTCACTTTTATTTCACTATGCACCACTGGAATC